TGTAAACATTAGACATCTGTTCTATCTTTGAAATAACTAGCTATTTTTTTCCAACTTTTTGCCCCATGTTATTCTACTAATTATTTTAAAAGATCATCTTCTTATTTATTCCACCATCTTTTTACAGTGTTTTAATTTGATTATGTTAAATGATTTTCATCTTCATTACTTTCTTCACTAATAGATTATTCATCTTCTTCTACTCCTTATTCTTCTATATGATTTTATTATTCGCTTTAATTTTTGGAAAATTCTACTTAAGATGCATTTTCTATTTCCTATATTTAATTTTATTAATATTATTTTTTTTTATATTATATTTTTTTGTGAAAATAATTTTTTTTTTTTATTGTAAATAATTTTTTTAAAAAAATTTTATTTAGAGTGAATTTTTTTAATTATTTTTTTCTATATTCGTATTTTATATTTTTTTATTTTAATTATTTTTTATTTATTTCTTTTATTTACCTTTTCTTATTTTTTATCTTAAGGTTAATTATTTGTTAATGCTAAAATGAGTTATTAAATTAAAAAATTATTTTAATAAAAGTTCTATTAATTTAAGTTTTGTTAAAAACCATCATTAAATTCTGAATTATTTTTTATATTTTATAATTCTATATTTAATGAATTTATACTATCTAAGCTTTTTTCATATTTATTTTATTATTTTTATTCTTATTTTTATTATCCTTATAACTATTGCTAGATATTTATTTTTTGGAAAACTTTTTCTTCTTTAATTTACTATTTTTCAGTCAAAGCTTCCATATTGCATTCTTTAGAATTCCCTAAAAAAAAATTATCTTATGTGTCCATTTAGTTCTATATTAAAATTGTTTAATTTTGCTTTTTATTATTCTAATTTATCATAAAATTATTATTTATTTGTATGAAAGCCTTATTTTTTTTTTATTATTTTTTTTTTCTTTTATACGTTTGTTTCTGTTTTCCTTTATTTAAAATATATTTTATGTATATAAATAATCAATTTGTTTTTTTTATTTTATAATTTTTTTTTAAGGCAAAAATTATTTAGTTTTATTATATATATTGATATATTTTTTTAAAAAAAGAAATTATATAATTTTTTTTCATATTAAAAATAAAAGGAAATTATATAAAAAAAAGATTAAATTATTTTATTTTGATTTTTAGAAAAAAACTTAATTTTATTAAAAAAAGTGTGTGTAATTTTTTTTTCAAAAAAAATATCTTTTACATATAATTAAATTTTAATATTTAATAATTTTTAATTAAATAATGAAATTCATTTCAAATATAAGATTAATAATTACATAATTATAAATATATAAAGATATATATATAACTTAATTTTTAAAAATAATAAAATTAAATTGATTAATTACATATGAAATTATTTTGTTTATATTTTAGAAACATTTATTACTATTGTATTTTAATATTTATTAAATTTAAAAACATATTTTTAACATATAAAATATCTTTTATAATTACCTTTTAAATATAAATATAAAATTTAATTGTTTTTTTATTAATATAAAAAAATATTTAATTAATTTAAACAATTATTTTTAAATATTAACTAAATAAATATTTTAAAATTGTTTTAATTATAAATTACATAAAACAAAAAAATTCTTATAAAAATTTTTAAATATTATTTATATAATTATTTATATTTTTTTATTTTTTTAAATAATATTTAACTTTAAATTTAAATTTTAAAAATATATATCATCTTAATTTTTATGTATTTTCGCTTTTCAAGAAAAAATAGATATATCAACTATTATGAAAGGTTAATACCTATAACTTCATAATAAATATATAGTATACTAATAACAAAAAATACATATATATAGAAGAATAAAACAAAACAATATATTATTATATATATAATAATAATAATAATCTTTTGATATATTGAGAGAAAACTATAACAATACTATCTTCAATTTTAATTCTAGTATTATAACTTTCATTTTTTTTAGTTCTTTAGTTGCTTCTTATGTCTATAATTTATTAATCTGGGTCATCAATATCATATCCTTATCTGGTATCATTAATAAATATTTTTATTATTCCATTTTAAATCTAATAAAAGCTATTTTTTTATTTGTGATTAATTAATATTTAGAGCAGAGCCGTAATATTTATTATAATAATTAACATATTATTAAATATTTTTTGATTCTTTGATATTTATATCTATTTACTTATTTTCTATTATTTATTATTTTTTATCTTCAGTAATTATTTTAATTAAATGTATCTATTATTTAAACTTCTTTCACTGTATTTTGATTCAGATACCTTATCTTTAGTATTTTTTTTTTTATTATTGTACAATTTTTTTAGTATTAGTCTTCCATTTTAATTTATTTGAATTCAAAGTATTTTTTGTTTTTAACTAATTAATTATTAAATTATATTTTCATATAATTATTGTATTGGTTTTATCAATTTAATTAATTATTAATATTTTTATAATTAATTCTAGCTATATTATATAATTATTAAATTTATTTTTCTATCTATTATAGAATTTGAATGAATATTTAAATATAATTATTAGTGAATTTGTGTCTATTTATTATTTCATATATCCATAGTTATATGATTCATCCATTTATTATATTCTGTATTCATTCTATTATTATAATCATTGGATTTAGTAGTTTAATTTAACCTTATTTTACTTATTACAATTTTTTTGTATAGTAGATTTTTAACTTTCATATATATTATCTTTAATATTTTAATATATTCTAGAATTAATTATTGATCATCACTGCCTTTTCACTAAATTTTTTTAATTAATATTAGAAGATTCTAGTAAACTCTATTCTTAATTTTTAAATACATATTATTATTTTAATTTAATATAGTAATTTATTAATAATTATTTTTTAACTTATCTTATATTTTAATTAATTAAATTTATCTTACTACGTATAATTATTAATATTTTAAATAAAGGAAAGTCTTTTTTTTTTTTTCCTCATTATTATTTTCAATATTGTCACTATTTTTATTCATTATAAATTTTAATTTCATCTTTAGTTATCAATTTTATTATTATTAATTTTTTTTTAGTATTTTTAAATCTAAATAGCATCATCTCTAAGAGATTGTTTTATATATTTTTTTAACTATTTTATTATATTGTTTCTATTTTCTTCAACCTAGATATTTTTTTAAGCCTTATTTTTAACATCATCAAGATAATTATTTATGCTTTTTTTTTAGTTTAAGTTACTTATCAGAAAAAAAATGCATATATTGTTATAGTAGTTTTTACATTTATTATCATTATAGAGTCTTTGACCTACTTTTTAGGATGAGAGTAAGAAACTTATTTTTATTAAGATTAATTTATATTTTTATAAGAGGAATTCTATTTATTAGATTAACTTGAGTAGTTATTTTATTTTTTAGCGACGAATTAATATCTATATAATTAAAATTCATTTTTTTCTGTTTTATAGAGATTCTTTTTATATAATTTAGTTAGGATTTTAGAAATTTCGTCTCATTTTTATTTTTTCACCTTCTTTTTATATAATTTAATTGTAATTTTATAATAAAAAAATAAGATTTTGTCAAAGAATATCTTTTATTTTATTTTTATAAAAAAAATAACTGACAAATAATTTTGTTTTAAATAATAATCAATATAAATTATATTCTTTTTAAATTAAATTTATAATTAAAATTTATTAAAAATTTGCAAAATATTAATATACTTTAATAGAAAATATAATTTTTAAAAATATATTTTTACAAAATCAAAAATTATTTAAAAATAAATGTTAATAAATATCAAAATATCATTCTTTATTTTCAAAATCATCGACATATTCATTATCACTTCTAAATAATAATAAAATAAAACAAATAATAATATATAAAAATAAAATAAAAAAATACTCTTATTTTAAATCTTATTTCTAATATTCAACCTCTTTAAAATTTTCTTTATTTTTCTCTTTTTCATCAAAATCATAGCTCTCTTCATATTCCTTTTCTTCAATAATTCCATTAGTTTTTTTCTAATTTTTTTAACTATGTATAAATGTATTAAATAAATCTTAAATTTTTAAAAAGTTAAGATTTTCACTACTTTATAAATACATAACTAAAATAAGGAAATCCATACATTCTAAAGGTAAAATTATATCTAATTATTAAAATGCTTAATCTATATCTTAGAAATTTATGTGTATTTTATCTTAAGATAAACTTAATAATGTCTATTTTATACTTTCTCCTCTTGTTTTAATTAATACAGCTATCTAATCTTAAATTTAAGTCTAATTCTATTCTATTTTTTATAAATCATATTCCTAAACGATACTTAATAATGCTTCTTTAATTATTTCTACATTACATGTTTTTTCTTCTAAATTATTATAAGTATATTGTTCAGAAGTAAGATCTGCCTCTACAAAGAAACGAGCTAAAATATCTAAACTTTAAAGGTTTTACAAATTGAATGGTTCACTAATTATATAATAATCTTAAAATAAAAAAAAAAAATACTTTCTTAAAACATCTTAAATTTATTAATAATTCATCACACTTTATTATTAATTTTATTAAGAGAAAAAATATAAATGTATATTTTAATAAGGAATTTTTCTAGCAAGAAGACTAAAACGAAGATTATATGCAATTGGGAATACTTATTGGATTGAAATACGTTTTATTGTTGTTTCTTTTTTTTGATTTGTATAATTTGTTTTTTTTATTAAGAAATCTTTAATATTTTTAATTCCAATTCAGATATTTTTTTATTTGCAAATATCAATTCTTTACATATTTTATTTTTTTCTAAAGCTAATTTTCTTTTTTTATTATATTTATTTTTTAATTTTATTTTATTTTTTATTTTACTCCATTTAATCTTTTTAAAAATTCTAATTAGGAGTTAATTTTTAAGACGTTGCTTTTTATAAAACTGATGTTTAATGTTTTATTTATTCTTTTTTTGTTTTAAGGAATTCATGCTCTCTCATTTTTAATTAATAAATTTCTTATTGATAAAGACAAATTTCTTTTGAAACACTATTATATTAAAATTCTAATTACATATATTTTTCTTCATATATTTTTAGATTTTATTATGCATTAAGGTATTATTTTTGTAAATTTTCATATTATGATTTTAATTTGATGTATTTTTTTCTAAGTCATTCGCTTTGTCAAAGTAATTATTATTTTATGCCTTTTAATTAATTTATTCATCTATAATTTTTTTACATTTTAATAACTCACCTTATAAAACTTAGTTTTCACTCTTTACATATAAATGTTAAATATTATAAATAAAAATTTAATAATATATATATAAATATAATAATATATAAATTTTTAAAATATATGATCGTCTTTTTAATATTTATATATATATAATATTAACATTTATTTCTTGATATGTAGTGTATTTTATATTCTTTTTCATAGTATTTATTTCTTAATTTTTATAATCTACTTCTTATTATAAATCTTTCATTTATTTTTTTAAACTCATATACAAAAAATTCTTTTTTAAAAAAGTTATTATTATTTGTTTATTTTTATTATTTAAAATACTTCTTAATCTAGTTTTTATAAAGTTAATTTACCACCACTACTTTAGACTTCTTCTATTATTTTTTCATATTTTTAACTTTGCTTTTATGTTTGTGTAAACTTTATTTTTAAAGAATTATTTTCTTATTTTTATTGGTTAATTATTTATTTTAAATTTATTATTTCTTCAATTAATTTTTCCTTTTTTTTTTTTTTATTAACTATACATTTAATCTTTTACTTTATCGATAATTGTATAATTATTTAATTATTGCATTTATGTCATTTTTGATTATTCAAATTAGCTATTAAAATTAATTATTAATTAAATAAATTAAATTACTATTCATAAGGATTTTTAGACTTATTTTAGCTTGTTTTTGGTCTGTTTGTACTAATTATAGAGTTTTTAAAACTTAATTATGAATGATTATTATTCATTTTAAATTTTTTAATTCTTAATTAATTATAAATAAAATTAGTTATATTTTAATTTATTTAATCTATAAAAAATAAAATAATAAAATAACAAATAATTATTATTAATATATTTTATATGAATTTTGCTTTATTTATATTGTTTAAAATAAAAAAAGCATATTTTAAAAATTACTATATTACATATTTTTTTATTTCTATAATTTTTTTAAAAAAAATCTTAATCAATAAAAAAAATAAGATTATTTATTATTTTGGTTAATTAAGTATTTAAAATAATAAAATAATATTTATTATTAAATAAATTAGAAAAAAATTATTTGATTAATTAATAATATATATGTATTAAGTAAAAATAGATATTAAATGATTATAATTTTTTTTTATTTTTTTGATATATTTTTTGAATTATATCAACAGACATATAATGATAGAATTTTTATTATATATTAAAATAGATAGTTTAGATATATAAATAAATAATGTGTAAAACAACTAATATAAAAATAAAAAAAAAAATATTAAATAATATTTATATATACAGGAATGGATATAATAAAAATGGTTATAAAGAAATATTATATTAAAGTAAAAATAGTTTAAAAAATATAAAAGAGAAATATAAATACAAATAACATGAAAAAAAAGAAATTTTATTATATTTAAATATAAAAATAAAAAAAAATATTCTAGGATAAAAATTAAAAAGATACATTTTATAATATAAATATTTATAGTTATATGTATTTTTTATTTATATTTATATAAAAATTTATATTTATATAAAATTTTTATTTATATATTATTTTATATTTTTATATTTTTATTAATTATTATATTTATTATTATTATTATTTTATATATTATATATATTTTTAATGTTAATATTAATTTTTTTTTATATTTGTATATGTATTTTATTAAATATTTTTTATTATAATTTTTTATTATTAATTTTATTTATTTCATTTTATTTAATAATTTTTTTAAAATTAATCTTTTTATATATATTTTTAATTAAGTAAATATCTATATTTTTTATAATTTATTGTTATTTAAAGTTTATATTTATCATGCTATAATATTTTTTTTATATCTCATGATTTTCTTTTTATATTTATATATATAACTTATTCTTTTTAATCTTATTTTAATTATTTAATTATTAATTCATTAGATTTATATTTTTCTAAATAATTTTTTTATTTTATTTTATGCTTTTTTAAATTACTATTTATTTTCCATATTAATCAAAGATTATATTATTTTAGTTAGAATTTTTTTTTTATACTAAATTTTCAAAGTTATATTAACTTAACATTTTTTTTTAATTTTATTTTATTTTAATATTTTATTACTAAATTTAATTCATTTTAAAATATTTTTTTTTACTTTATTATGTTGATTATTATGCATTATTATAATTTTTTTTGGTAATATTAATATCTTTTATTATATAATTTGTTAACTATATAAATATTTTTTATTTAAACTTTATTCACTTTAATTTTCTTTTATAAATATATAATATAAATGATTTTAAATTAATTTATGTTGGTATTTTAAAAAAGTAAAATAATGATTTAATTTAAAATATATTAAAAATATAATAATTTACAAGTATTATTTTAATTAAAAATAATTTTTAGAAAAAGTATAAATTGTGATAAAAAGAAAAGAATAAATTTACAACTAAAAAAAATTATTTCATGATTATAATTAATATGCTATATATATTTTAAATATAAAATTTTCATTTTTATTAACAGAAAAATAAATATTATATAAAAATGGTATAAAATATAAATGAATAAAATAATACATAAATTTTTAATTGTGATTATTAGCTTATAAATTTATTAAATTTTAATCCATTTATAAAAATAATTCCATTTTTAAATTCGTAAGAAAATTATAATTTAAATTAAATTTTCTACTAAAAGGCCAAAATCGATTGAAGCATGTAAAAGATAAGGAATTGAACAGCATTAACTTTTGGTAAAAGATATTTAAGACTTCGAAAAAGATCCAGTTCTAAAAGAATTTTAAGACGATCCTAAATTATTTTTTGAAATAAAAGCAGAAAAATATGAAAGAAAAAGATAATAGAGAGTCTAATTATTAATTTAAGTATTTTTTTTTCCTACTTTTAAAAATAAAAAATAATAAAAAAGGAAAGGCAAAAAATTATTTAAGAAAATTCCAAAAGTGTAACAACAAGTGCATTTTAAAGTTCCAAAATGTTTAATAATAGGTCAACTTCTTGCCTAGATAAAATGAAAAGAGAAAAAAACTTGACAGAAGTTTTAAAAAAATAGTAGGTAAAATATGAAAAAATAATTAGACTATTAATATTAAAATATTTACTATTTTAAAAAAAGCAAAATCAAATATCTAAATTCCTTTTAACTTAATAAAGAATGAAAGAAATATAAACTGTAAAATTAAGTATATATATTACTTTAACTTTTTTAAAAGAAATAAATATAAAAGCAAGCAAAATTAAAAGAATTTTAAGAAAATCAATTTAAAAATAGAAGAATAAAATCATAATAAAATGAATATGAAAGACTTTAAAAAAAACAAGAATTTTTAAAAATACAATAATACAGTGTTTAAGCATTAAATGAAAAATATTTAGAAAATTAAAAAAACATTAATAATAATAAATAATAAAATAGGAATTAATAAATATTTATAAATAAATAAAAGAATAAGAGACAAAATAAAAAATGGAAAATTTGAATTCAAAATCATAGGAAATAAATGATAACAAAAATAATTAAATGGAATAAAATAATTTTTATCAATAAATAAGATAAGAAAATATTATTTAAGTATTTATTTAATTATCTTTAATATTTTAGACTTATAAAAAAAACAAAAGGAATAAATAGCAAACCAAGATATTTAAATATAAAATTCAATATCCGAAAATGAGTTTTTTTATTAAAAACTTGAAATTTTTAAAGAAATGGAAAATTAAAGGAAAATAATATTATAAGAAGTATAAAAAACAAATAACCAAAAAAAAATATATCTAAAAAAAAGGAGTTACAAGAAAAACAAATATAAAATTAAAAATCAATGCCCGATATGTAATAAAAGTTTGATTTAGTATCATAAAAATCACAAGATCAATAATAAAAATAATAAAAAATATAAAATTAATATGATAAGGCTTTTATAACATAAAATAAAACGAATGATTTATAAAAAATAAAGAGTGAATAAGAAAATTATGTCTAATTAAAAAAATAGTAAGACGAGTTTCATATATAATGTATATTAGAAAGAAAAAGACAATAATAAAACAAACTTTATGAATAAAATTAAAATATCTTTTAAAAAATTAAACTCAAGATTTAAATGGCAAACCTTAACAAATAATCAGAAATTAATTTTATAAAAAAAAAGACGGCCTTAGAATAACTTTAATAAGAAGATACTAAGGAGAACAAATAAAGATAATTAAAAATTTAAGAATATTAAAAAGAGAAAAATTTTAAAAGAAAATTTTATTAAATGAAAATAGAAGAGAAACTAAAACATGAATAAGAAAATTAATTGGAATAAAAAGAATAAAGACAAAAATTAGAATTAGAAAAAAAAAATAATTTAATAAATAAAATAATAATTTTCCGAAATTAAATAAAAAAGAAGATCTAGAATTAGTTTTTATTTCATAGCTTATACAATAATTAATTAATTAATGAAAATATTTAAAAAATTAATATTTAATAATAAAGATCCAATTAAATGAAAGACATTTTATTAAAAAAAAAAAAATAACTTTATAAAATAAGAGTAAGTAATTTATAAATTATATGAAAAAACTAATATAAAAAAATAAAATATAAATAGTAAAATCAGTTTTTTTCAAGAAAAAAATTAAAATGAAAATTTATTGAAATCTCAAAAATATATTAAATTTTAATATAAATTTTAAGAATTATATTAATAGAAAAGTAAAAATGAATTAAAAAATATTTAATAAAAAGAATTATTTGAAAGAAATCAAAAATATAATAAATAAAGGAATAATAGATACTAAGAAAATTATAAACTTATTCCTCAATAATATATATAAAAAATAAATTAATATTAATTAGAATAATATGTTAAATAAACAGAATTTATTATAGAAGGATTATTAAAAGAATAGGTAAATTTTTAAAAAATCTTTTATTTAATTTTATTTTAAGGATTAAAATAATATAAATAATGATTTTACTAAGCACTTAGGAAATTTGCTATTAGATTAATAAATGTATATATTTATATAAAAATAAACAAATTTTTAAATAAAATGCATATCCATTAACAAATTTAATACTATTACTGATTAATAAATTAAAAAAATAAAAAAAAAACTATTTTTGTTAAGTTTATTATATTTAAAAAATTTAATTAATTATAAAAATAAAATAATATAATAAAAAACAAATTAATTAAAAAATAATATAAATATATTAAATTTAAAAGGGAATATGTGAAGTAATAAGCTATATAATTTTAAAA